TTTGAATGAGCTTACATAGGACATTCTACAATTAAGGTTAGGTTAAGTATTCAATTGCAACTTATGCTCCAAGACACCGGTCCACACGGACTCACTGAAAGGTTAAGATCTTGGACACGGGACGTGATTATTTTGGAAGAGAAGTGAAGGGAGCCATGTACATCAGGGCATACGGGGGCGGCAGCGGATTCCGAAGAACTTTGACCCGCTCGGGTTGGAAAGCTTAAGAAGACCGAGTGATGTCTGTCGAAAATTTTGATTAGTCAATGAGTTGGAGTAATTCCCATACTCAAAGTATGTTTTTTTTTTTTCTATTCCAACATGTAATCACCAGACGTGGTGACGACACACTCAAGTTTTGTCAACTTATATTATGCCGCCACCAACACAGGGGACAAATACATGACAGGACAATACTCATTTACACCTGAGCGAAGTGGGGAAAGCCGTGTAAAGTGCCTTTCCCAATGGCACAAGATCGGTGGCATGTCAGGACTCGAACCCGGGACTCTAAGTTCCGAGTCGCGCACTCTGCCGCTACGCCACACGACCCCACGTTCAAAGTATGGTTGTGCTTACTTACCTGCTAGCTTTTGCATAGACAGGTAGACCTGCGTAGTTAATGCTGGGAGAGACAAAGACCTGTTTTGTGTTAAAGCCATCTGGCTTACAGGTGTCCTTGAAGTGCCCCTCCCCCTCGGACAGCGTGCGACCTTCCATGGTCTTGTCACCTACGAGGGGAGTAAGAACAGAGTAAGTGAACAAACGCTTGAAATACACTTCGGCTTTGAATCCTATCTTAAATAAAGGTAGTGAACCATATCACTTGAAGAATCGTACTACCTAAAAGCACGATGTAGCCAATATGTTAGCCAAAGTTTCGTTTTCATGGTTCATTACTACGCTCAAACAATGAGGCTAAAAAAAACTGGTGGTAATACCATGCAATAGTACTTGGGGACTTACAACAAAGAGGTCACTGACAGGGGCATTACAACGGAAATAACTAGATGAAGAAAGCGTTGGCAGTTATCAATTGTGTGGGTGTGGTCTATGATTTATGACTATCCAGCCTTACCCGGTTTGATAAGATCCCCGGTGTTAAGAATACTCTCCAGAGCGCCAACAGTTGTTCCATGGAACGCCACATGCCATTTATTAAACACATCAAGTGCTGTGGCTCTAGGAGGGACCCTAATATCGACGAATGGTGATTGTAATTTGTAATACAATTCTGATTTCATGAGCATTATAGGTGCATTTTTACCTGATTATTTCCTTAATCTCGCAAAAAAATGTCAGTGTAAAAATGACTATGCCTGTATTACACAATACTGCAGGATATCCCATATTTCAGTGCTTAAATTATGCGTAAATTGTTTGTTTTGTTAGTTTATAAATACGTCCTGTCTTTACGTATCCTTTATACCCGCATTCCACTTAGGCGGCGCTCTCATGGTGCTCTCTCCGCGACCTCAAATTGGCCAGAGCGCCAGGAAAGCGCCAAGGTTGCCATGAGAGCGCCATGAGAGCACGATGAGAGCGCCGTGAGAGCGCCATGAGAGCGCGATGAGAGCGACGTGACAGCGCCGTGAGAGCGCCGTGAGAGCGCGATGAGAGCGCGATGAGAGCGCCATTAGTGCGCGATCAGTGTACAATGAGCGCCATGGGCACCGTCACCTTGGCGATAGTAAGTCTCCATTCCACTTAGTGGGGCTCTCACTGCGCTCTCGCTGCGACCTAAAATTGTCCAGAGCGCGGAGAGAGCGCCGAACTCCACGAAAAAGTGCTCAAGTGGAATCTCTACTGCGACCTCTCTGCGCGACAAATAACTCAAATGCCAGCAACTTTTTTTTGCCGATTAACGAATCCAAAGCTCACTCAATGAATTACAGAAATAGAGACTTATGATTTATCAAGACTGGTTGTATATACATGTAACATGTAACAAACCGCGCAGGCCACTTACTTGAGTGAGAAGCGGCACCACCCCACCGGCAGTCCGTAGTCCTTTTGTGGAACACCGCGTTTGTAGTAGTCCTGGTCCCCGCGGGACATGTGACAGTTACGGCAGTAACACATGTTGAACCGATTTTCGAAAAATTCGTCTGCATTCACGAAAGTATAACAATATGTTTCAATCTCATTTACATCGCACAAAAAGTTACAGCAAATAGATATGATATTGAGAGATCTTTCTTCGTTGCAAAAATAAAAAACCTAATAATGTATCGCGTTGGAAATGCACTTTCAACGTCTTATTAGGCTTAAATTTTTCCTATGTCAATTTTTGATAGCGTGTGATAATGATTCTAAATGATCATATTACTAATATACAAAAAAGTATCAATATTATGCCCCTGTCAAATGCGAATGTATATTTGATATAACCAAAGTACCTAAACAATTTGTAAATATTAACGACGCCATTGTGTTAACAGGAATATTGTTATTTCATAGCACTTAACGTAATGTGGACAAAGACTTATACGTCTTACCTTTTAACTTTAAAGAAGTCTTGAACGTTATGCACTTCTGCATATACGGACAATCACCTAAAATTAATAAAAAACATTGTTTAGTTGTGATTCATATTAAACTTTGCCTGGAATAAAGGATATGACTTTAAACCTAAATGATAAGAATCAAAACATTTGCATCAATAACAAGAATTCGGAGATCTCATACCTCCATGAAATATATGAGTTTCTGTAAATGTTTTGATGGGTCTCATTAACTATGGCAATAATGTCGTAATTAGCATAATCTAGTTTGAATTATGGTTTTCTAAATTCAAATACCGTCACAATCCACAAAGGCGTTATGAAGTAATGCTGACTACAAATGTGTGGAAACACACACACACACACACAGACACACAGGCAGACACACACACACACACACACGCCAAAAACAATACCTCCTTTTTTCATGCAGGTAAAAACGTTAATAGTGACCACTTGACTTTCTTTGAGGTGTCTGAACATTATATCTCAAATATATGCGACTGAGTTCTACCATCCGAGCCTTCTGTAGAAAGTGACTGTATCTAAATTGATTTTAAAGGTATTATCTATCCCTGATTTTTTAAGTAAAAAAACTTAAAAGAAGTGTCTGTAATATCAAACAATGGTGGCAGGGGTAAAAAATCGATTTGGCGGAAATTTTGCACAGTGATAGTACTTGACCCACAACCCCTTAAAATAGCTTTCTTTCTGCTCCACACCGACCGTTGCCATGGTAACGGCCAAAGCATATTTTGTGGACTTTTCCCTGACTTGGGCATGTCAAAAACATAAAAATTTCCAAAGTTTAGGACACAATTACGAACAAATGCTTGAATATTACAGAAAAACAAAAACTGGGCTAAAGATACCAATTCATCTGGTTATCTAGAAGAGGTTTGAAGTTTTCAACAAATCTGTTTAAAGGGCCTGGGCAACTCTAAGACAATACTTTTGGCTAGTTAAATATCGCTATTTCTGCCCATCTTTGAAGAGCTGTAAATCTTTCTTTTTGCTTCAAATTTGAATCAGAGATATAATAATCATAAGTGCTATGAAATTTATGTTTGTAAAGTCTGGCCATTTCTTGGGTTGTCACGTGGTTGTCCTCAGAAGTAGCTTAAATTTTACATCTCAAGAAAGACATAATTTTATGTCATACCTGAATTACACTATTTGAAATCTTAAAACCAAAAATCTAATATAACTTTAAGTCATAAATGATAATTTTAATTGCCTATCAAATGGATGCCTTTGGAGGTTCGAGTCTTGTGTCGTTGCTGTGTACTTGTCCCCAGAATCAGGCCATATTCAAACATGTTATAAAATTAAAATTTTTAGCCATGTTTGTAGTTCTATTACTTACAAAGTAGGATTTTTTAAATTAAATCTTTGTATAGTAGTACATATGTATATTTTCCATCAAATGTATGCTTTTACATGTAGAAGTTGGAATCTTGTGTCATTATTTGCTGTGTACTTGTTCCTTAAAGTAGGCTATATTTTGGACATGTGTCCAAGTGCTAACAAAATGTATTGTCGTCAATCCAAATGCACAACGTAGCATCGGTGTATATTATGCTTCTTTTTACGTGCACGGTTTACACACACCTGCAGTGCTTTTCTGCAGTGTCTGCATGACATCTGTAGCCGCTTTGTTGACAGCTTCATCGTCATGTTCCTTCAGCTGGTTCAGAAGCGTCACGGCGGCTGGGTCCTTCTTTACCTCGGCTTTGATTTCAGGGTCGCGACAAAAGATCTGCAGCGCCTATTAACCATCGGCATATCAAAGTTAAAAGTATTTAAATGTATCCACCTCGGCTTTTTTTAGTAGGATTTTTGTCTTTAATGTCTATAGGGCACGGATATTGGAAGGAGGGAATCATTTTTTTGTATGGTAAAAGTTTTTACCATCCAAAAAATTAATTCAGGTCCCCATTTTTTTTTCTTTTGGGTGGTGTGTAAAGATCGGGTAAAGTGACTTTCTTAATTCTTTCTTGAGCTATGAATGTTAGGGATAAAATTCTCAAACTCCCGATCCTTCGCCCATTAGCCTATCTGCTCAGTCATTCGACGCCATGGCATTGCTACACACACACGGATGCCTGTGGTCTTACTAATGCGTTAAGTTATTAATTGAAGAACAGATTTTGATGTATCTATTCTTACACTTCAACTCGGTTGGGTGAAGGCGGCCTAGGCTGATATTCATGTTCGAGTTCGGACGTGTGTCTGCACAATTGCCACAAACATGTTTCGAACCCGAATCATGTTCCACCATGTTCGATATGACGTCATTCGAATAGAACGCGTGTTCGAATTCGGGGTCACTCGCGGTCATTTGTATGTTTCCCCTGTAAACCCGCGTTGTTACGCTTTTTATTTACGGACTATGACATAAAAGGCTTTACGCGCAGCTGAAAACAGCATAATTGATCTTTAGAGTAATCTATGTTTACGTATTATCACTTTTTTATCAAAATTTTCCGAGGCTATTTTGCATATAAGTCGATATTTTTTAACTGTGGCGACATTTTAACGAAAAATGACAGAAACATAGCTGTTTCCGTCGTTTTTGGCCCAAAAAAACAATGTAACTGTCATTTAACACAAAATAGCCTCGGACAAAAATAATAAATAGGGGGCTGGCTTTCTACTTGTAAAATATCATGATGAAAGGTGTTGTTACCGCTTGCGCGTAAAGCCATGAAGTAAACAGCTTTTTTTAAACCAAAATGTTGATTTTTAACCCAAAATTCAATGTGTTTCAAATACTACTAGAACTGTGTGAAGTTTAGTTGTGGTGCGACCAAGCTATCAAAAGTTACAGGCATATGTATGAAATACTACTCATAGTATGCCATAGGCTGCCTTAACCCAACCGAGCAAGTTCTATTCTACCATTTCCTATTCCATATCTGACAGAAAATGCACACATTTCATTTGCGATAAATGTATCCGTGAACCCATGACTACTTAATTTTCTCTCGATGACTTAAGATTGAATGCATTAACCATATCTAGACTGGGCTAAAATGCCAGTGCCAACTTTGATGTCGGATAACGTCCGACGGCTTGTAATAGGGCTACCAAACTTGATGACTTTTTCTAAGATATTGTTGCCAACAATTTCGAAGCAGTGAGATCAATTGACAATTTTTCGTGTTGCCACGGTAAGGGGTTTCTAACAGGCATGTTAATGAAATTTAAGGCTTTTATGTTAATTTACACATGCTTTCTAATGTTAATAATATCTTTTATAATTTCATGTAACTTTCATCAATAACTATGCATGATTTATGCTAATTTGAAGTCGCCAATGGCCAAAATACCAGATGGCGGACCATGTCATTAGATCAGGAACATTCTGGACATTTTCCTTAAAATTTCATCCCAACTTCAATTTTGTTTACAGAAAATATTAATTTGAACCTTTTTAATCTATTTCCAGTGTAGTTTTACGCTTTATCAAAAAAAAAAGGATTTTCGAAAATTCCATATTGACGATCCAAGAGTGCGGACAGTTTTATTATTCATTACGTCCTTTCATGACGTCACTGGTATTGCTATGGGCAACATACGATTCAGAAGATCTTAATATTCTATAATAAATTTTTTGGGAAACTTGTGCTGTAGACCATTAAGAAGAAAAACGGATTTGGGCAATAAATCACATGAATGACGACATATTACGTCATAATGATATCAAAATTTTTTATATAATTGATTATTACTAGTACATCATACTCTTAAAATTTGGCGGTCATAGGATATACCGTTCTTGAGTTCTGAGGGGGAAAAGCCAAATCTAGATACGGTTAAACCTGGTTCTTAAAAAACTCTATCTATTAAGTAACTAGTAGATATGTCACACCATCAGGGCTTGTTCTTTATCTGAATTGTCGCCATCTTGTGTCAATGCGATGAGGAGTTTCAGTGCTCCTTTCTTAGTGAGCAGTTCTTTGTCAGCGTCATTCCGAGCCAGCGCACCCAGGGCCATGGCCAGTTCCATCACGGAGTAACCGTCGGCCCTAAAAAGGGGGCGACAGAGCATAACGTAGGACTCTGAGTGGAATTAACATGATCTTGTTTGCCATTTCAAAACAATATCTATTCCTCTAAATACAGTGCATTCTCGTTGTATTACAATTTGTATGTTTGTGGTTTATTGTCAACTACACGGGAATGTAAAACCGGTGATCATCATAATTAGTAGTTATGTACCTCATGTCAGAGGAACTAAGCGCCTTATTCATGGTCCTGATGATGTAATCCGCCACGCTGTCGTCAACCTCGATCAGACTGCTGTTTCTGTCTTCCACAATGTACGCCAGGGTCAACACGGCAGGGACCTGACAGGCAGAGTTAGTAGAAATGGTTAAGTCATTGTGACCTCGGCTTTGTCCTGGGATTTTTAAGAACGTTAGTGGTCTTCAGTGGCCTTATAAACGCAACAACAAATTTTGATTTTTTTTTCGTAATAACTGAACATAATACGGTACCTGACCTTTATGCACTTGGCACTTAGATATTGGAAGTTGTATCTTATGAAGTCAAAGATAGGAAAAATGGAAAATAATAGTACAGGCTACACATACAAGGGTGCAATTCATAGGCTCAAATTAAATCCATTTTAGTCTGTAGGTTTAATAATGAAGGATAAAAACGGTTTAAGAAACAAGCTGTGAAAATTTACTATAATGATGGAATGATATAATTTTACAGAGAAGACTTACGGTACATGGTGTAGAAGAAGTGCTTTAAGTCTTGCAAGACCGACAAAATGCCTATGAGTTTAATACCATAAAACACGTAACGAAAGAGAAATCCGACCTCAAATTTGTCCATTCAGTCCCAAATTCCAGAATTGTATACGGCAAAACGTCTTTGTTATAAAAATATACATTTCTTCAGGGCTTCCAAAAAAGCCTTATCGTTTTTATTCGACACCATAAGAGGAAATAGTTTTTCATTGAGCGTTCGGCTCATACCCAAGAGGTAGCGGGTTCGAATCCTGCCCATGTCACCGATCTTGCGCCCTTGGAAAAGGCACTTTACACGACTTTCCTCACTTCACTCAGGTGTAAATGAGTACCTAGCTTCGGGTAGGGTAGGGACGTCCCTCGAAAAGGACTTTAAATGGACGTCTCGCGTTTGGGGAAAGCCACACCCCACGCACGTTAAACAACCCACCACACCTTTCGAAAAAGAGTAGGGGCATTCCGCCGTGTGCGATGGCACAAACACTTGTATAGAGTTTTTTTTTTCATTTTAAATCACCCGAATGGAGGCCTGGCGAACCTCTGTTCCGTATCAGCCACATGGTGATCACATCACCACACATGGTGATTACATCATTATCCGGACAGAGGCGTGGCGAACCCTGTGTTGTATTAAGCTAACGAAAGGGCATGTCACCTCGTAAGGGGCGGTATAACCCCGACCAATACAATTGTCGGGTCGACCGATGATGATGATGATGATGTATACCATTGAGTTTTTAGGGAATAACCTATCTACCTATCTATCGAAATTGTTATTATGATTCTGTTTTACTAGTACATCATTCTTTTAAAATTCGTGGTCATACGATATACCGTTCTTGAGTTCTGAGGGGGGGCGAATGAGCCAGCCCTCGGTCCAACGAACCCCCCTCCCCCCTAAAATACCGGTCTAGATATGGTTAAAGAACTCACCGAAAAGAGTAGGGGACATTACGCGTATGAGTGGTTCAAACCTTACAGTACGGTCTTACGCAGCTTGTATATGTACGTACATGTACAAAACTGGTGTGTCATGCCTAAAGGCGGTTTATTGGGTATGTGAAACAAACATACTTACTGTTATCAACATAATTACATGCACGCAAGGTAGGTAGAACAAAAATGCACAGGAAAATATTCACAAAAAACATATTTCCCTACGGGTGAAATACCCGTGTAACGTCCCTACTCTTCCAACTACTCTCCTATCAGTATAACTAGCAGGACTCTTACTAACTCAACCAAAATTTCTCCAAAAATCACTTAAACATCTCCAAAAATGTCTGAGAAGAAAGCTATTCAGCATGATTGTAAGTAAAAATGCCATTTTGGGAATAAAAAAATACCTTAAGCTCAAGATCTTCGACTTGCAGATAAGGCCTGATGCGGTCGACTGCCTTGACGTCTTGGAGGAAGTGTCGGTTCTCTGGTACCTTGGCACAGTTGTGCATAAGGACAATAGCAGAAAGGACCATTTGGTGGATGAGCTAAATCATGAGTAAAACATACAAGTGATGAGGATTAAACAGAAGCAGATTTGATTCATCACTAAGTACGCAACGGCAATAAAGAGTTTCCAAAATATGTAAATATTCAAGATGTTTATAATTTACGTGTGTCTTATTTGTGTATATTTGGTATGTCATGTATATTTTCTGTTTTTTTAATTGTTTAGATTAAACAGATATCGCTTGATTTATATTTCTATTTATTGTAGAATTTGGAAATCAGCTACAATCTCATATACATCATTATTTGAGATTAGTTATCCTGAATTAGACCCGAGAACTGATCGAAAATTTTGAAAGACACAATCTGTGCACATACATGGCAGTATATTTAAACCATTTACATAACGCAATGTACCAACATAGATGAATTTTCATAAAATGTTCTGGTGACGATTTAGGCTGTTAGCTTAAACCGTTATTTTTGCTTACAATATATCTGAATGCTGCTGGCAGTGCTGCAGAGCTGCTACGCTTTATAGTAAAATTTAATAGCGTCGTACCTCATGTTTGAGATCAGCGCCGTCGAAGTTGGCTAGATCCTGTGATACAATCATCAGTATGCCTGACTTGCCGAGTTCGCGGCAGAACTCGTAACTGGCATCGGAGAAATTCACCAAAAGACTCCGAACGACAGACACGCATTTTACTTGTACCTGATCACAAACACCACCGATAAACATGTGAAGATTATGTCACACAGATTTGAATCGCATTTTAGCATGGGATGTAGCCTAGCCTTAAATAGACAAACTTTAACTGCCCAACTCAAGAATCGTTTAGTGGGTCATTATCAGACTTAGTAGGTTGGTAGGTGTTGATAAGACCTAGACATGGTTATACTTTGTTCCCCTGGTGTTTTGTCATGATACTGCAGCGAAACTTCCGTTTTTTTTTGTAACTCTTGATCTGGGTCTGGGCGGTAAATATATCTTCTGCTGAAAAAGAAATTATGTGAATTTGGACCTGAAGTGGCTTGTTCTTGGACTGCAGGATCGTTAAAAAATTCAAAGGCAAAATAACTTAATAACTGGTCAACGTATTGTCGTCATGTTTGGTACATACTAGGTAGCTATAGTGATAGTTAACACGATTATATGGCGATTATGCCATTCCGTATTTATCATATAACCGATTAATTAAGAACTTCGATACATCTGTGGTGTATGATAATAGGACTATGGAACACTTTTTATTTTGTTATTGTAAACGAGAAGAACTTGGTATAATACCTGCCACATATAAATGGTTGCGAATATCATTGAAAAATCGATAAGAAAAATGTATACTTCAGAAGGTTTCGTTGAAGAGATTCATCAGTCACGTATAGTACAAGTTCAGTAAGATAATTCTTTCAATCAGTGACTATTAAATCCTAAGGTTCAGAAGGTTTGAAATCATTTGGCAAAGGTGCGAGGACGAATTTATTGAAGTTCTATCCATACGTTCCATTTACGGTAGCTATTTCTTTAATTTGGTTTATGCCGAATTTTTCATTACATGCTTAATAAACATTAAAGATTTTATTTTTAATAAACACACACACACACACACACACACACACACACACACACCTGTGACTCGGTGTGTTTGCCTTTCATCAGGAACTTCAGGTAGTCCGTCAGGGCACGAGCACCTCCGATATTAGTGAGGTAGTCCGCCATGAGTTTACGTTCTGCCTTTTTTCGAAACCTCCTGTATGGGCCGACCAAAGCTTCCTCAAGTGTGTCTTTGATAGTTGAGATTGACTCTCCATTCCTTATCATTTTAAAAATAGTAATGAATGTCAATGCATGGTTTATTTTACATTTCACTCACATATATCTCATTTGCAGTCCTAAGACTTATACAATATATTACTAAAGGTTAAAAGATTTAATTCCACAACAAATTCATTGCACTCTAACACACCAAAACTACAATGCATGTACAGTCAAAGTATGCAAGATATAATAAAATCCCAATGTAGGCATCTAAAAGTATTCCTTAATCATCAAGTACCTGTTGGACTTCACCATAGAGATGACCTTGCTCATCTTGGGGATCAGCTCGTGCAATTTCTCTCGGCGTTTCTCAGATGAGAGCGTCTTTAAGGCCCTTGGAGAATCTTCTGCACCTATATTGGCGGACCACAATAGGGTTTAACGTTTGCGTAATCACTATCCGAGCGCGTCCTAGCACGATGGTCAGATTTGGGCCCAAAAGTCCCACTCCGCTACTATGGAGATCGAATCCCCCGAACCCGCGAATCTTGTTCGATATGACGTCATTCGAATAGAGCGGGCGTTCGATCTGGGGTTACCCGCGGTCATTTACAGTAAAGCCGCTACAACCGGCTACTTCAAGCCCTTTTTTACTTGGGAACCACGGAACAGGAAAAATCCACCTTTCCACAAATATGAACCGTTTTCAAAACATTACATCTATGCCGTGATTTTATTGTGGATATGTAACATGTAACGAAGCTACTGCCGTCATCGTGGGTGACCTTGAAGGTCGGAATTCTTGTTGACGCTGTTATAAAATCCAGGTTCCCATATCCAAGTGGCACAGCATGCGTGCAAACATGGTATTTTAACCACTCTCAAAAATCGTTCAAATTACCTCATTGAGGTCTTGTTTGGAAGAGGAACGATTTCCGCAGATTTCTGTCTTAGGGATTTTTTTAAATATGGCCGCGATTATGAATTATCGGTATTCAAAGTTAAAGCACTGCGATTTTAGCTCTTCTTTTGACTGTAAGTCGAGTTTTAGTTAAAAAATAAAAAAATCCTAAGACAGAAAGTTTGAATTTACTGTAATATTTCAAAAAATCCAAAAATTTAACCTTATTTTCAATTTTCGGGGCCTCTTAAAATCAGTTGTTTGGTTCTCGTGAACCCTTTTTGAAATCCGAAATTGATCTCATTTGGAAGCAAATGTACACAAAGTGGAGCAAAGGCAGTGCAAGAAAAACATTTGAGGTAAACAAAATCACTTATTACATTTTATTTTGACGAGTATTTACTCTCCAATTACTTTTGTTTATTTTCAAATTTTACCCGTTGCCCCCGGGCCGGCCCGGGACTCCCGCGCGGCCACGTTCGAACACGTTCTGTAACCCGATACCTCCCTAGTAATGCGACTTTTAGCCTAGCAACCGACCGCCGTGTCCAGCAAATGTATGCTTTTACATGTAGAAGTTGGAATCTTGTGTCATTATTTGCTGTGTACTTGTTCCTTAAAGTAGGCTATATTTTGGACATGTGTCCAAGTGCTAACAAAATGTATTGTCGTCAATCCAAATGCACAACGTAGCATTGGTGTATATTATGCTACGTTTTACGTGCACGGTTTACACACACCTGCAGTGCTTTTCTGCAGTGTCTGCATGACATCTGTAGCCGCCTTTTTGACAGCCTCGTCGTCATGTTCCATCAGCTGGTTCAGAATCGTCACTGAGGCTGGGTTCTTCTTCACCTCGGCTTTGATTTCAGGGTCGCGACAAAAGATCTGCAGCGCCTATTAACCATCGGCATATCAAAGTTAAAAGTATTTAAATGTATCCACCTCGGCTTTTTTCAGTAGGATTTTTGTCTTTAATGTCTATAGGGCACGGATATTGGAAGGAGGGAGTCATTTTTTTTTGTATGGTAAAAGCGAAAGGAAAGGTGCTTTTACCATACAAAAAAATTATTTCAGGTCCCCATTTTTTTTTCTTTTGGGTGGTGTGTAAAGATCGGGGTAAGTGCCTTTCTCAATTCTTTCTTTAGCTATGTATGTTTGGGATAAAATTCGCGAACTCCCGATCCATTGCCCATTAGCCTAGCTGCTCAGTCATCCATGGCATTGCTACACACACAGATGCTGGTGGTCTTACTAATGTGTTAAGTTATCAATTGAAGAACAGATTTTGATGCATCTATTCTCACACTCCAAGTTCTATTCTACCATTTTCTATTCCATATCTGACAGAAAATTCACACTTTTCATTCGCGATAAATGTATTCGTGAACCCATGACTACTTAATTTTCTCTCGATGACTTAAGATTGAATGCATTAACCATATCTAGACTGGGCTAAAAGTACCAGTGCCAACTTTGATGTCGGATAACGTCCGACGGCTTGTGATAGGGCTACCAAACTTAATGACTTTTTCTAAGATATTGTTGCCAACAATTTCAAAGCAGTGAGATTAATTGACAATTTTTCGTGTTGCCATGGTAAGGGGTTTCTAACAGGCATGTTAATGAAATTTGAGACTTTTATGTTAATTTACACATGCTTTCTAATGTTGATAATATCTTTTATAATTTCATGTAACTTTCATCAATAACTATGCATGATTTATGCTAATTTGAAGTCGCCAATGGCCAAAATACCAGATGGCGGACCATGTCATTAGATCATGAACATTCTGGACATTTTCCTTAAAATTTCATCCCAACTTCAATTTTGTTTACAGAAAATATTGATTTGAACATTTTTAATCTATTTCCAGTGTAGTTTTACGCTTTATCAAAAAAAAAAGGATTTTCGAAAATTCCATATTGACGATCCAAGATTGCGGACAGTTTTATTATTCATTACGTCCTTTCATGACGTCACTGGTATTGCTATGGGCAACATACGATTCAGAAGATCTTAATATTCTATCATAAAATTTTTTTTGAAACTTGTGCTGTATACCATTAAAAAGAAAAACGGTTTTGGGCAATAAATCACATGAATGACGACATATTACGTCATAATGATATCAAAATTATTGATATAATTGATTATTACTAGTACATCATACTCTTAAAATTTGGCGGTCATAGGATATACCGTTCTTGAGTTCTGAGGGGGAAAAGCCAAATCTAGATACGGTTAAACCTGGTTCTTAAAAAACTCTATCTATTAAGTAACTAGTAGATATGTCACACCATCAGGGCTTGTTCTTTATCTGAATTGTCACCATCTTGTGTCAATGCGATGAGCAGCTCCAGTGCTCCTTTCTTAGTGAGCAGTTCTTTGTTAGCGTCATTCCGAGCCAGCGCACCCAGGGCCATGGCCAGTTCCATCACGGAGTAACCGTCGGCCCTAAAAAAGGGGCGACAGAGCATAACGTAGGACTCTGAGTGGAATTAACATGATCTTGTTTGCCATTTCAAAACAATATCTATTCCTCTAAATACAGTGCATTCTCGTTGTAACTTGTATTACAATTTGTATGTTTGTGGTTTATTGTCAACTACACGGAAATGTAAAACCGGTGATCATCATCATAATTAGTAGTTATGTACCTCATGTCAGAGGAACTGAGCGCCTTGTTCATGGTCCTGATGATGTAATCCGCCACGCTGTCGTCAACCTCGATCAGACTGCTGTTTCTGTCTTCCACAATGTACGCCAGGGTCAACACGGCAGGGACCTGACAGGCAGAGTTAGTAGAAATGGTTAAGTCATTGTGACCTAGGCTTTGTCCTGGGATTTTGAAGAACGTTAGTGGTCTTCAATGGCCTCATACACGCAACAACAAATTTTATTTATTTTTTTTCATAATAACTGAACATAATACGGTACCTTACCTTTATGCACTTGGCACTTAGATATTGGAAGTTGTATCATATGAAGTCAAAGTTAGGAAAATGGAAAATAATAGTACTTTCCTCACTTCACTCAGGTGTAAATGAGTACCTAGCTTCGGGTAGGGTAGGGACGTCCCTACGACGACGACTTTAAATGGACGTCTCGCGTTTGGGGAAAGCCACACCCCACACACGTTAAACAACCCACCACACCTTTCGAAAAAGGGTAGGGGCATTCCGCCGTGTGCGATGGCACAAACACTTGTATAGAGTTTTTTTTTTCATTTTAAATCACCCGAATGGAGGCCTGGCGAACCTCTGTTCCGTATCAACCACATGGTGATCACATCACCACACATGGTGATTACATCATTATCCGGACAGAGGCGTGGCGAACCCTGTGTTGTATTAAGCTAACGAAAGGGCATGTCACCTCGTAAGGGGCGGTATAACCCCGACCAATACGATTGTCGGGTCGACCGATGATGATGATGATGATGTATACCATTGAGTTTTTAGGGAATAACCTATCTACCTATCTATCGAAATTGGTATTACTCCGTGAAGGAGGTCAGGACCTCCGGACGGAGTGTTGTGAACGGCTGATTTTTCATGTTCGCAGTCAAAACACTGGGTTCTCTTTGTGTAATCGGCACGCAATTTTATACGCCGTCTGCGGGCATGCCCGTGTTGATGCACGAATGTGTATTTTTGCCGTTGCTGCTTTCGCGGTCAATGTAATATTGCAGACGCACCCCTACAATTACGAGGCGAATTGGAATGGTCCAGAAAAATGCGTTGTTTGGAATAGCAGTGGGGGGTGGAACTTCATGCAGATACGGGGTGGTTTTGATAAGTGGTTACAGATGTTTTTGCCCATGCTTAAGAGATGCCAAGTTTTTTGGAAGATGTTCGCAGCCAAAACGCATTCTTCCGTACGTCGCATTTCTGTGTAATTTCGCATGTGGTGTGGCATTATGTCCGGGATGATGCACGTCTTTTTATTTTTACCGTAGCTGTTTTGATATTGGAGTAAATGGTTATTTTCGAAACATCCCTACTTTTACAATCCTGTGGAATAGGCCGTAGGTTTAGGCAGTTGTCTGGTAGCAGAGGTTCTCTAAGCAGATATCCCGGGTATCTGACCGGCGGCAGTAACACTCGCGTGGTGGCCGCGACTGGCCTGTTCCAGTCGCGCTTAATAAGTAACAGACACGGTAAGACGGTTGGGGCTGTCTTCGTTAATAAAGGGTCTGCATGCCCTTTTTCGTTAACCGCTATGGGCTATTTTAATTTACCGTTAATCGTTGCCGACCCGCTCTAATTCAACGTTAAGCGTTATCAGTATATCCCTCGTGAAGCGTTATGGGTCGTTTTAATTACCTTCGCCAAGAAGGTTATGTTTTCAGTAGCGTTTGTCTGTCTGTCTGTCTGTTTGTCTGTCTGTCTGTCTGTGAACAGCATAAGTCAAGAAGCTTAATATGGATTGTCATGAAACTTGGTATGTGGGTAGGTCTTGGTGAGACCTAGAAATGATTAGATTTTGAATAAATAAATAAATAAATA